CATCAAAATTTTATTTCGGTCCTTTTCGGAGGCATTCTCAAGAGGCTTGACGAACTCGGCCACCTATTACCAAAATTTCCCAGCCCTACCATATGACTTCCAGCCCCGGCACATACTGTTTGATTGATTTTGGGATAATCTGAGTGACTATGGTGGATGGGTGATGGAGGTGGAGGTGGAGGTGGAGGTGGAAAAAGGAGTTCTTTTTGTTGTACGAACTTCCCATCTGGAACTGATTCATTTGTGCCATCTGAAATTCCAGTATTGCATTTTAATTTTTAAATGAACACTACCAGTGTACCGCCAACCCTCTCAAATGCGTGGCGGATTTCTCCTGTTCGCGGAGTCTGAAACGACCGGAGTGACACTTTCTTCTTCGCGTTCGGCTGGCGCCGCGAGCCAAACGGTCCTGGAGGCCAGCAGACGCTAAGCCCCCGAAGATTGCAGATGGAAACCAATTCGTTGCAAAAGTTATAGCCCGGGAGAGGTATTTTACTATTTTTGGTTCAACCAACCTGATTCCGCAGTCACCGTTGCAAAAACTTTCTGACTGCAAAGATACTAGACACACATCTCTCGCACCTCTTTTTCCCGTGTTTAGGGCAGTCGATGTCGATGACGCCGCCTGCCTGCTCATCAAAGTCCACTATGGCAGACTGCAACTAACATCGGCGACTCAGTATTTATGCAAAGCCCAACATAATTAAGTGGCGATTGTGCAGTTTTTCCCAACAATCGCCACTACGCACGCCCCACTTGGAACAGGACTTCTTCAACTTAAGGGCCTTGATCTTAACCACACACTTGGAAACACAATGAAGACGCCCTAATCAGTTTTGTCGTCCTGCACAACCCGATCGAAAGCGTCCATGGAATTGCCAGCTCTCCTTGTCCGTGGCACTCTTTCCCTGACTTCGTCGCGGCTCATGCTTTTTATCCCCCAGATATGGCTCGACGCAAAAATAAAATAACCATAAGATATGCGTGAAAATAAAGCACCTGAAGCGATATATATACCCATGTCTCCACCACGAGCTGCAAAGAAAAACCCGCTGCGCACATGACTAAATAGTACATAGTGAATAGTCCACACATGCATACCTGTGTACGAAGAGATCGTACTCACGGATACCATCTTGTTAGGGACCACCACAACTGAAAAACAAAGGAGCATGCAAAAAAAAAAGGCAAAACAAAAACGTTGTTCACGGAAACTCCATGGCGAACGAATTCGCCTCTCCCACCGTCAAAGAAAGCCACATTGGACACGGTCCCATGGAAACTCCATGTCGAACACTCAACGGCGAGGTGATCCTAAGAGCAGAGATAAATATTTATAGTTTAGAAAACACTCGACCATTCCTTATATTATTACACCCTCTCTCAAAAGTTCCTTACCAGTGAAAAACCAAAACAGACATCATCCCTTGGGGAAAAAAAAAAAGACATCATCCCCTTCTCTTCCTCCCACATCCAGCCCTTTTTCCACACACAAATAATACTCAAAAGATCGATGTAGTTCAGATTCTTCAGAAGGGTTTAACCGTTTAATGTCGTGGCATAACGACATTGTCGATCATGCTGGCGACGATGTGGTTATGCCGCGACATTAAACCCTTCTTACTACATTGATCTTTTGAGTTGCAATCAGATTCGTTTTCAAACACACTTTTCACACATGTAAACAGTAACGCAGCACACTGGCGACATGCGGCCACTCAAAACTCAGAGATATGGCTTCAGATACGAGTTCACTCTCAAATGGCTATGGCAACTTCAGCGCCCAAACATCTCACTGTTCACATACACTGGATCACCCTGGATATCCCACACGCATCACTCTAACACTCGAGCACACACACACACTCACTACTAACTACAGCTATGGCAGCTATGGCT